AACATATATAATACTTCGCAACCTTACGTGCAATGGTTGCCCGTATTATCCAGTGAGCACAAACTATCATCTCTAGCTACCCGATTACTATCTTTAAGTTGTTACCTAATGTGCACTAATTCAATTCTAATTCATACCCTATAAGTGCCTACTCGTCCCATTTATATAGTCTAGGAGGCGTTGGACAGCTATAGGGATAGTTCTAGACTCAACCAAGAATATGATTAGCATATAAGGGCTCACATTTACCTCCCATATAGACTCATATAGGTGCAAGGACTGTTATTAATTAAAACTGATTAAAAGGTGACAAAATGGTATATTGGTATAACAAATTATGTCCTATGGGCATGATTTCTAATCATTGTATCCATTCGAATTATGATAGGGGTCTTTCGCTTTGCCAGATCTAGAGAGATACTACAAGTCCTCTATCCCAGATTCCATCGTCGTGGACATCGGGTTCACCGATACTACTGGGCAGATCTTTAAAATTGGCTTTTGTATTGTTACATTAACTTATTTATGCCTAAGACAAGAGATCTAGGTGATGGTTGTGATTGCAGTAATGAGTAGTGTAAACTTCTTAGGTACGTTGCTAAACCTTATTGGCATGATCTCTGTATGAGCGTCATAGCAAGGAGTACAAAGGCTGGATTTTCATTATTTTAATTCTATAGGCAAGATTTCTATGTGATTAAGAGTTAATGAACACAAACCGGTTAAGTGATGAAAATAATCATGTGGCATAGATTATTACTTGCAGTCTTATAAGCATGATTTCTAAGTGTAAGAACTTAAGAACATGATCTCTAGGCCGTGGTAAAATAGACGAGCAAATTAACACATACTAGACCCTATAGGCATGTTAACTAGTGATGTTATTGGATTATTGGACCTTATAGGCAAGTTATCTAGGCAGTGCTCAATTCATACTAATTAGGGTCCTAGAATCACGTTTCTAGGTGAAATGAACACGTTAAAATAAAATTCCTACAGGCATGGCTTCTATTAACAAATAGTATGTAGGAATTCAAGACCCATAGGCATGTTTTTTTATTGGTAAGTAGAACATAGGAATTTAAAAATCTATAGGCATGCTTTCTACCCTTAATATAAATAAAATCCTATAGGCATGCTTTCTGAAAGATAGAATACCCAAACCCCAACATCCAATAGCCCCCATAACTATGTTTTTATAAGGGTTATTATTACATGCCCAACAGAAAGAGATTACAAAAAACCAAGTCTTAATTATATGTGGTAAGCTATATCATGCTTGTCACTAATTCAAACAAGAAAAACCAAGTCTTAATTGTAACTACCCGACTAGTTATTTTGAGCATTTGCATTCCGTTCAGCCGTTTGAAGTCTTGAGTAGATTCATATGATGAATCATCGTTATTGGTTTTCAGGTTATTCAGAATTGATTTGGAAAAATGATTCTTAGCTAGGAAGCTTTAAGTTGAAAGAGTTGTCCTAGTTTGACTTTTTAGTCATTGAACTCGGATTGGAGTTTTGATAGTTCCGTTAGGTCTAGATGGTGATTTTGGACTTGGGCATATGCTTGGATTTGCATTTGGATATTTCTAGAAGGTTTCGGCACTATTTGGCGAAAGATGGAAATTTAAAGATTTTGGAATGTTCATAAGTTTGACCGGTAGTTGGCCTTGATGATATCAGATTTGAATTGTGGTTCCGGAAATTGGAATAGCTTCGTTATGTCATTTGGGAATTTGTGTGCAAAATTTGAGTTCATTACGAGTTGATTTGATAAGGTTTGGCATGAGTTTTGGAAATTGAAAGATTCAAAGTTCATTAAGTTCGATTTGAGGTGCAATTTGTTGTTTTGATGTTGTTATGTGTGATTTGAGGCCTCGAATTAGTTTGTGTTAGTTTATGGGACTTGTTGGTATGTTTGGAGGGGGTCCCGAGGGGCTTGGGTGAGTTTCGGATAGGTTTAGGTTGTGTTGCGCTCGCTTTTGATGTTTCGACGTTGTTTCTTCAAGCATAAGTGGTACTACATTAAACAAATGAGCTCCAATTTCGGTTTTGATTGAAGTATTAGATCCGTATCATAATTTTGGAACCATAGCAACTAGAGTCATCAAGTTTCGACATCGTATGAGAAATTTATGGCCATTTTATTAAGAATTGGGTTGCTAGATTTTTTCAACTTAATTACGAGATTGTCACTGAATTCGTATTTAAAAATCTGCACTATTTTCAAATAGTGAAACCGACATATCTCCTTCATTATAAGGTCAAATGGAGTGATTCAAAAGCCTAACTTGACTGAAATTTCACAAGGAATCCCTTGGAGGCATCAAAAGTGAGTTTCAGGATCGTTTGACATGAGAAACAAGGCAGAACAACTGACAAAAATATATAATATCAAGGGTTTGTTCATTTGGTCATATTTTGAGTTGGAGAGCTCGGATTTGGCCGATTTTCACCATATGGATTGGGGTAAGTGTTCGCTACTTGGTTTTGATTATATTTCATGAATCTATCTTCATTTTTAGTAATTTGATTATGAATTTTAAAGAGAAAATTTAGTTCTGCTTCCAACTACCGATTGGAAAAGGCTTGGACATATAACAAGATTAAATAAGAGGTATTGCATACGGGAGTGATATATTAAATGAAAGTGTCTAAAGTTTCATAGAGTGAATTTGAGTTTTGAACATCGATTCGCAGTCGGATTTGAATGAAACTTGTATGGTTGAACTCGTAATTAAATGGATTATCGGATTTTGTGAGTTTTTTGGGTTCCGAGGTGCGGGCCCCGATTTGACATTTTTGTTGACTTTGGGATTTTGATTAAAGATTTGACCTTTACCATTTGGAATTGTTTCATTAGGCATTATTTGATGTTCTTGAGTTGCTTTTGGCTAGTTTCTAGCCATTCAGAGGTTGGTACACTTCTCGATGGCATTTTTGGAGTATTATTTGGCTTGCTCGGTATTGGATTCGGCTTGTTCGAGGTAAGTAACACTTCTAAACTTGGTGCTGAGGGTATTAACCCCTGAGAACACATGTTATGTGCTGGCATTGAGGTGACGCACATGCTAGGTGACGGGCATGCAGGCGTGCATC